TATTTATAATTACATAGGAGCGGGTCTGAATCCTTAATACCATAATATTCAATCCTACCTGTAGACCACTGAGGTGGAAACTTCTTGTCGTCTGGGTGTTTTGCTACAGGATGGGTCGATGTACTTTAAAACTAGAGGGCATATCATTGATAGCTATTATTTGGACATGTTGAAGTGACATCATCAGGGACTTTATTACTGCAAATGTGTCTTCCATTTGCACAATCTTTTTAAGCCTCATGTTGAATTGGCACATAGTGACAACAACGTCTATATGTGGCCATTAGAATGGTGAGTCCAAGAAAGATGGCATACACAGCTGATTTATATAAAACTAATTCTGTAAAGATAATTGGTAAAACAAATTCCCAGTAAAGGTCAGATTCAAGTCAAAAAGCTAATGCAAAGGATTTTAGCTTCAATTTTTTTTCAGACCACTGTCTGGAGAAGTCTCTAAAGGCTAATACAAACTCAGCAAAAACTAAGACAATTTTGTCTTGTTCTCAAGGTTTCAATAAATGTGTTTTTAGTCTTTTTGGAACGGTTTTTGCAACACCCTATTAATAAGGGGAGTTTGCCAAATGAGCCAAAGGCCCGGATTTAAATGTTTTTAAACTGAAGCAAAGATGGCCGTTTACCTGTCCTGCAGAGACAGACTACAAGAGGGACCTCACCTTGATGCCGTGGCTCTGTGGAAGTGCAACGTTAAAGCCAGAATAAGGCTGGAGTTTCACTTCCACAGAGCCGCACAGAACAGGGAGGATTTTATTCAGCTGTGGGGTTTTAACAACATTTTAAGTACTGTGTCAGATGAAGGAGAACTACATTTTAACAAGTCCTCATATAATAATTTTTGGCTGACACTTATTTTTACCTTAACCTTGATTTTTAACTGTCACTTGTTTTATGTCAAATATTTATATGTTTTGACTAAAGTGTTGTTAAAAGTGGAAAAAGTTAAAAGTCAATGTTTCAAGAACAAGAAAAAAGTTTGTAGTTCATACTACATGAGCTGCTGAAGTCCATCCCTCTATAACACATGTCACTGAAGTTCGATTGAGAGTGGCGGGGAGGGGGGACACAGAGAGTGACGTAGCCACTTATGCTATCTAGCCAGCAGTTATGGAAAATATATCTAGAAAAGGAACAGTAATAACAACTCAATATTGATGTCAGATTAGTGCGAACTATGCTTTTTTTATTTATAAATATAAGGTCTTGTTTTTGTAACCTTTGCTAACCCACACAAAAATTACAAAACTTGCTGTGGCATAAACAAGTAGCAATGAGGCCAAACATTTCTTACTTTGATACATAACAATTTAAAGAAACGAGTTGAGGAATTCAGTACAATTTCTTTTGTGGAAATATAATTCTTGCATTTCTTTATTAAGCATTTAATCAGTATTGTTTATGTACTTTGCTTGAAGGCAAATCAAGTCTCCAAATATCCAGAAGCAGATGGTGCCTGGTGAGATCCGGAAAGAGGCCTTGGCAGATGGACATCCACATTCTTTATCACAGGTTTGAATACCATTATATATAAATGAGTACTTTCCTAGTATTGGAGCAAGTTTAACATCCAATTGTCGGATTAGTGAGTTTAATCCACTTTATATCAGTAACAAAAGCTGTTTCTTTGTTGTTTATTTCCCCATCTTACCTCTTTTGAAACATTAAATAGGAAACTGATTTCCCATGTCGCTGTGTTCCTTTAAACATTCATATATGTGCTATCTTCAAAATTAAAGATTTCTTGATGCTTTTGATCTTTTTCCCTCCTTGAATTTCAGTTGTTAATGCAACATACAGGAAAATGTTCATTTATGGCAAAGTTACAATACAGTTTTTATGTTTCATTGCTGATCATCCGTCCATCCATCCATCCATTGGTCCATTAGTGACAAGATTTTTTGAATTTTGAAAGTAAATTTATAGCATCGGTTAGATGTAGTGTTGCGCCGGTGCCATTTTTTGGCCCTGATTCCAATCCCGATACCTGGCTGTGAAGTATTGGCCGATACCGACACCATACCGATACAATCTGTTTGAAATTGATATGTGTGTGTATATATGAAGAACTGCATACTACTTGGATGTAAAATAATTGCCATCATGGCTTTGTCAAGTTGCTGCCTACCTTTGTTAAGCAGGAAAAAGACTAATACAAAGTGAATCCAGTAGAACTTTTTATTGCCAACCTGAAATGGTTGACAATAGTTGAATAAACTTCTGGCTCTCAAATGGTATCATGCCCTATTTGTTGGTACTCGCCGATACCACCATTTTAGTGCAGTATCAGGGCCCCACCCGATACTGGTACCAGTATTTAGTCAGATGTGTTGTTTAATACGATGCTGATCACAAAGCTCTGAATCTTTAAATTACAATGGGACCTGGAAAACAAAAACAGCTAAAGACACAGCTGTGAAGGGCAACAGGGGCGTCGGGTGCAGGAGTTTGTCGGAGAGTTGTCAGTTCGAGCCCCGGCTTTGGCTTTCAGTGGCATTATGTTCTTGGGCAGGACACTTCACCTGCATTGCCTACTGATGTTGGTTAGAAGCCTGGTGGCACCAGTGTACTGCAGCCTTGCTTCTGTCAGTGAGCCCCAGGGCAGCGGTGGCTACAATTTAGCTTGCAATAATCAGTGTTCGAGTGTGTGTGTGAATGGGTGTATGACTGAAAGTAGTGTAAAACGCTTTGGTCAATTCTCCTGACTTGACCCAAGAGCTATATACTGTAACAGCAATTCAAAATGGCCCTTCCCAATTCGAATGGCAGCACACTTCCCTGCAACTCCCAGCAAAAAACCCCTCCACCTTCCAGCCACTGGAGTGAACCCTCTTTCATATTTGACTCCACCCTTTCACTGAATTATGGGTTCTGACCAGGAGATGACACTTCTCTTTCAATCTTAATGTCCACAAAACATGACAGAATATTTTTGTACAAAGATTGATGTTTAAAAAAGAATTGTAGGGGACCAGCCAAGACCAGTCAAGGGCCCATCAAGGAAAGTGGGTAAACGTTGAATGGCTACTACTGTAAGTACGGGCCATTTACAAGAAGGGACAGAGCAAACTTTGTTTCTTTAGAAAGCTTACATCTTTCAATGTCTGCTGTAGGGAGTGGGATGCTCTTCGTCGTCTATTGAGGGTAGTACCATCAGAGCAATTAACTTAAAGAAGTTTAATAGGATAATAGCGAGGGTAGCTCTGTTCTGGAAACTCATCTAGATTATTTATGAAAGAATTCATCATAACATGAGACACTTTATGGCAACCCTGAGCATCCTCTATATCAGATTTTTATATACAGTCAGAGATTGTCTTCAGTCAGAGAAACAAAAGCTCCACAAAAACTTTTACACAGACCGATCCTCCCTAGAACCATTAATATTTATAACAACTGGTTTAAGAACCCCCCTATAATATGAGTTACAACAGCATTTGATTTGCCTTTGGAATTAATAAACTATTTTGGATTTGTTATTTTAGAACAGTACAAGTACAAATATTTGCAGTATAGAACCACCTCCAGACCAAATTATAATTCTAATTTGGTGTTAATTAAAGGAGATATAAATAACACATTCAGTGTGTTTTCTTCCGATTTCAAACTCTAGGTATCATTAGAACTTATTTCTCATTTGAGTATTATTTTTCATTAAATACAATTTTCATATCTTTAAGAACTGTAAATTGTTACAGCAAATAACCAACTCTAGATAAAGATGGCTGAAAACCAAAATGTTAGGTTAGAAAAATGGATAAAGCCTAAATGCTTATCGCATTTAGGACAAATTGATAGTACTGAGGTGATGGTGATGCTTCATTCTTGAAGGACTGAAATCTAAAGTAAGTGGTTTACTTCTTTAGCATATGTGCTCTGGACAATTTATTCTTAACCAATGCTCAAAACTGTTTAAGAAACTTTTATGTCTTATATATGATATCAACTTTTATGTTTTCTTTGCCAGGACTTCTGACAAAGAGTTGCTCCATCTGTTTTTAAAGATATGGGCTTCAAATTAGTGGACTTTTTAAGCAACAGATTAACCATGGTGAATTGAAAACTTTCAGGAAAAGAACCAGAATCTTAAGAATTATTTATTTAAGATAGCAGAGGCTGGCCAGCATTTGAGAATATTTCCTTTAATAGTCAAGGGGAAACAATATCTCTAGTGCAGGAGAAGTTCATACAGAAAACAGCATGCTAAACTGTTCATAACATTGCTAAAGTGCACTTTACTGTACATAACATCTTCAATGCTGCTATCCATGCATTCAAAGCAGCCTGTACTCTGCATATTGGGCTCTCTCCAGCACTAAGATTTTGTTATGGCCTCTGTCTCGTCTATTTCCCCATGCAGCCTTTTTTTCTTTCCTTTATCTCCAGTTTCATCAGGAACATAGCACGCTCCAAGGGTAAACACACATAAACTCTCCCTATCATTTCAAGACAGTTTATGTGGGACGAACGGATAAAATCTCTTCGCCCCATTGTCTCCACTGCACCATGCTGCACTTTGCAAATACAGAAAAAGTCAAAATCGGAAGTATTAATTTCAAGCATTTGCAAAGAGGTTTTTTTTTTCTTTCACTTTTATGTTTAAGGATGATACAATAGCTTCTCACAATAATTTGCCCAGAATTCTTTAGTTTCTTAGAGTAATGATGAAAATCCATTAATTGTCACCACATGGATTGTAGTATCTTTTCTTTTTTTTTATCTGCTATTGCACATATGGAGATTTATCCTGCACTCACTATGGGCTAATGAATGTGAAGCAAGGAATTCTGCAGCTGCTGGAAATTAACGTTTCTCACTCTTTACTAGTTTATAGAATTGATTGCGACTTTTCATTCAAGCAAAGAAGTACCAGACACATGATAATCCTTCCAAAGTCCATTAGATGATCTCTGTTTTTGCCTAAACTAAAATAATTTTTAGAAATTGTTGCAGCTTTGCAACTTTTTAAAGTATTTTTTTAAACCAGCATTTATTGTTTCAAACAAAACAGTGATGAAATACTTCTTGCACTTTGAGACACACAGAGCCACACACACATGTGGATGCAGCGTTTTGGTTGGGTTTCACTTGAGGGGTCCATTGGTTGCAGCCTCCACTCAGTGGGGCGTGTATGGATGAGTGTGTGCAGACTTCAGTCTGTTCTGTGTGGTCATACCAGCACTTGTTGATTCTGGTGCATCGAATTACTGCCTGTCCGTCACAACCAGTTAGAGTCTTGAGCTGCTGACACGCACAACACGCCTCTGTGTGTGTGTGCATATGTATGTTGCTTACCTCCAGCTGTGGTCTGCTGACAAGACAAGCCACAAGTTTTCACTTTTGATTTTACTAGCTTTGAGATAAGTTCATCATTACTTTATAATTCATTAGTTTTTTCATTTGTATCAGTTAAGAGATTCTGAACTTGTATTGAGTATTTTTATAGCATTTTTTTGAGGCAAGTGATAAGGTACTCACATCCCACTCCTGTGTTCCTGGCAATGTCTCATGACATGACTTTTTCTACATCTGAGGAATCCATTACAATTGAATCCTCATGTGTGACCTATGGAACTGTTAAAAAAAAAAGTGCTCTGCTCGCTGAAACACCAAAAATGTGTCTTTTCATTGCACTGCTATAGGGTGACGTTGCCAATACATGCATTTTGGGGTGCACCTCAGTTAACCAGACATGAAACAACAATTTATAGGATAAAATGTCTTGTTTTCAAGAATTTTCAGTATATTCTGTTTTCATCCAAATACTCAACCTTGATAAAATGGCCTGTTTATCCTTCACATTTCTTTATCCATATGATCTCAAGGCCTTCACACTGCTGTTAGAAAAGTGTGAATGTGTAAACACTAAAGAGAAAAAAACACTTTTGAAAATGATGAGAATGTAAGAACAAACCAACAGCTGGTGTTTTTGACATTTCTATCAAGCATTGTAGCGAAGGACATTTTTCTCGCCCTCACCGTAGGCGTCAAAAAGGCCTTACACAAATTATGCATGTAGAGATACAATGTCATGTTGGTATACCCACTGGCCCAAATCAGATTACTAATTTCTTCTTCAAGCAATCCTTTTCACCTTTGGCTCAGGGGGACAACTATTACATATTTTCTCTACTTACATGTTTATCAGCTATAAAATAGCAATTTACCATGTTTTTCACAGGTCAACTTCCAGTTATGTTTATTATCTGGTATGTCACATGCGATTTTCTATCCAGCACTAGAACCTAAACTGGTTAAGTGTAAGCAATGTTTTTATTTGACAATTCAATGTGGTAAACCTACACAACAGAAAAAAACTAATTTCAGGTTCATTGATTTGCAATGTATCCCCTTATTCCAGCTGGAGTTGCTTTAGTATTGATCTGTTAGTGCAATTTCTAATAAGATATTAAATACTGGAAAATTAAAAACATTGTTTTGGTATCCCACAAAGCAGAGTTTACTTATTGATTTCAAATGTAGCTAAATTTTATTTGATTTTATTGATAATTACAAACTTATGGTGCAAATCCTGCAAGCTCTTGTACTTGTTTACTTCTCCACAAATAGACATATGACTCTTAACTTGCGACTTGAACAAATTAGTTTTAAATGTGCACTCAAAAGTAACAATAGTATTCTTGCATTTGGCGGTCCATTTTTTTATTTGCAGCAAGTTTTTATTTTGCTTGCTTTTTCTTCAGTATTTCCCAAGTTACCCATAAAAAATAATCAAAAATGAATTTCAACTGATTCATGCATTGTTTAACAATGATGTACGAAATTGAGCTGAAAATAATTCCCTGCTTAATTTGAAATCAAATTAAACAAAAACATTTCACCTCTCTGCTTTCCTTTTGCTTCTGTTGTTTTCAAAACATGCTCTACTTCTCCCTCTCCTACATCAAGCTTTGCACTTCCCAGGATGCTATGCGTGAGACAGCAGAGCGGATAATGGAGCTGGAAAAGGCTCTAAGGGAGACCATGAACACCTCGGCACATAGGGAGGCTCTCTGGACGCAAGAAGAGGCTGCTCGTGTTCAGGCCCAGAAACAGGTTTATGTGATGATGTACAAATTTATGGCGGATCACATATCTGCATAGTCAGACTTATGAAGGCACAGTTCCATATACAGTGTCTCTTTAAAAGCTATATGAGGTTACACATGTATCCTCATGTTACATATGTATCTTTACTAATATGACAATATGATTAAGATCTTCTCCTTGTAAGGAAATATGAAGTAATTGTAGTGGGTTTTTTTCTTCTGTATTACATATGATCACTTAGCTGAACTTAAGCTTTAGGCTTGCAGACACTCCTGCCTTTTTTAACCCTGCTTGTCTTACTATCTGAATGTTTGTCTGACTACCAGCTGGTTTCTCTGCATCTTCATGTGAACCAAAAATAGTAAGAAAAATGAATGTGTGTGCTTTTGTATGTGTGTGAATCTAGGTGTGTCTGTGGTGGGAAAAAGAAACGGGGCAAGTGAGCATGTTTCCTCTTGGTGTGAGTGTGCATTTGAATGAGAATGACCTTGCATTACTTATGAGTGCCACAAGTAATATGAGATCTAAAAGTGGTTAAGACTAGAGCTAGCATTATGAGGTAGAAATATGTCTGTATTTCTTTAAGCACACTCTAGCAGAGCTTGAAACATAAAAAATGAGGTCTGGTGAACAACAGAGCCAAGTTATAGAAGGTCAGACTCAGTTTAGAAAATTTTGCTTGAGCCAAAGTTAACTGTGGCTTGTTTTTTCCTCTTTGCATACCTTCATGCTTAACTTACATTCAGCTTGGATACTATGTTTATTAAACAATATTTTGATCCTCAGAAAAGTAAAAAAGAAAAAAAGTATTTTTACTAATGAGGGATTTGTTGCATGTGAAGAACCGGATGATTCAGCTTTGACCTAAGTTAACTCATGTGTATAAGAATCAGAAAGGTCCTATAGCCTAACTTGTGAAACATTAACTCCCAGTGACCCCCCCCCCTCGAAAAACATAAGCAGCTTGTTTTTAATAAGTTAGTTTACAGCTTTTTATACCCATATATACAATCAAAAATTATGTGGTCACACAGATGCAGAGTTTATATTGTGTTGCAAACCTACTTATACACATTGAACTGTTTTATTTTTTCAAATTACAAGTAAAGATGAACAGAAAATAGTAGATAACTGTGAAGCCTATCTGGATGTTCAGTGCAAACAGTTCAGAATCAGAATGAACTTTATTGACCAAGTTTGATGCATAACAACTGATTTTATTCGTTTCAAATGCTGATATAATATAAAAATGATTGTTATAAGGAAAAAACTTTGAGGAAAAAAATAAGGGCATGCAACAATATGTATTTGTGTGTTTGTTTGTAAAATCCAAATCAAGAGGTAAAAGCAAGAGTTTAAATTTAAACTGCCCTTCTGAAAAATTCACAATCAAATTTGTAGAGGCAAAACCCCCAAAAAGCTGCAGCTGTAATTGCAGCAGAAAACATTGACCTAAGAGGTTTGACAGCTTAGAGGTTTTCGTCATGAAAAAAAAAAAAAAAAAGACAAAAAATCTGTAGTCAGTAAATGATTTTTCACCTAATTTGGAACCATGTACTATGTTAGGTCAAATTTAAATAAAATAGATCTTAACAAAAGAGTGAAAAGTTAAAGGCAACCATCTAACCATAATTTCCCAGCCTCTGAATTACTGGTTGGTGACTGAAAAATGAAAACATAAACTGCTGTTGTTAAAAAAAAAAAAAAAAAGTGTGTGTGATTATAAAACAGAAAAAGAATAGTGTCTGCCGGAAAGACCACCTGACCCTGGCACAGTTTCAGAGCACCCTACTAAACTCACATTCTCACACACCTTCCCTTTTTGTTTGATTTTCCTCTTTCTTCTTTTCTCCCTCCGAAAGTAATCAGTCTCATGATGTGTAATGAACTGAAAATCTTCTGTCAGCCAGACCTGATGAAATGTAGCATGGGTAATGCCCCGGGTCACTTTTCTTCACACCCCCATCCTCTAAGTCTCTCACTTTGTCTTTGCTGCTTACAGCTTCTTTCTTTCTCATGGAATCACCTCTAACATCCATCCTTGTTCTTTCTAATTGACCTTCTTAAGTTGTCTCGTATAATTATGTCCACTCCGCCTTTCCGATGCATTTTCTGTCCATTTCCCACTTTGGCGTTTGAACTAGGCCTTTGAACCAGGAACAGGACATGAATGCACTAGAGGGATTTGGTCTGTACCTTTGAGCTTTCAATCAGCTTATCAACCAGAGTGGGCTAGCCTTAGCCAGCTTTAGCGTGGTTGGAGAGCCTTTTTCTTGAAGTTGAGCTAAATTAGCAAGCACAGGCTTGCTTCTAAGAAGATTAAGTCCCTAATTTCACTAACCTTCATTGTATTCTTTATTAATGATGTGATCGTGCAATGACATCTACCCTGGGTGGTGCAGTATTTAGATTGGAACTCTAAACCATGCATGATGGAGAGGTGCATTTAAGTGGCTAACAGCAATAGATTTGTTTTGATGGAGGCATGGAAGAAACATTTAGTTTAAAACAACACTATTTTTTTGACTCAAGTATTAACTTAATCTGAGATACATTCAATAATTTCAGGTCAATATACAGCACTTGGCACACATTGATGTGCCTTATAGCACCTTCTGAGAAACCTGACTATGTAAGTTGAAAGGGTTGGATTTGTCATGTGACATAGATTGCTATGGTGTCATTGGACAAGAGAGTGGAGCTGAGTCCTTGCAGCAGTAACCCATTTGAACATCTGTCAGGACAGCGCAGAGAGTGAGAATGACACTCCATGTTCTTCTAACTCACCCACATTATCTGTGTTAGGATTTATACTCATGGTCACATATAAAACAGTTTGTGCAGACTTTTACCTACCAAGCAGTATTTCCCTAATGATCAGTTTTTATGTGACATTGTGTGTGAATATGGTTATAAAAAGTCACTTCAACTAGACATGTCCATCCTTCAGACAGGTTTAAGTCTGCCTTGCGTACGAGCAGAGTGAAACATGCTTAAATCTTTTCATTTAAGCCAAGTTTTTTTTTTTTTCAAGATAGTATAAGCTCTTTTATTGGAGAAAGAGGTCTCAGAATATAAAGTTTCAAGTCTTCCCTCACACATTGATTTAGATTGATGTACTGACTTTGACTAAGGCTTTAACACGCATTAATAGGCTTTAATTGAATTAATTTTAATTCTCCGGGCTGTATTTCTGGGGACTTTTTTCTACTGGATGATTCACCTATGACAAAGTCTAAAATCTTCTCAACCACTGTGAGGTTTTCCTCCACTATTGTGCTGTTTTAGCCAGCTTGGAACATCATATCAACTCTTTCCGGCTATTATGTCGGGTTAAAAAAAGCATTCTGTTCTCTAAAATATATGAAATGTTTCCATTAGATTTCCACGCACGTTCGACACAAAGTGATACTTTAATACCATTTAGATTATGTATCAAACTGCAAAAAAAATGAAACCTTAGGATATAGTTTTATTACCCAACTCTTATTTAAACTGTATGAGACTATATCCAGGATCTGTCAGATGTGTGAGTCTTTGTTCTCAAGGTTTGTTTGCCTACATTTTTTTCATAGGCCTGTCTTTGACAGACCAGATGTATGTATACCAAAATTATATTATCATATTGACTTTATGTGTTAATGCTAATTACTTAATGAGAAAAATAAATGCAGTTGATATTATTTTGTCATAGTAAAGAAGACTGTATGTAAATACATGCCTACATCCTGCTGCTGCTTCACAGGTATGTCCATTTTGTTTGTCTGGCACATAAAATCCAACTTTGTAAATCCAAATATAAAAAAAATATTTACTTGATAAAATAGGAAAACATTTTAAGTGTAATAATCCTTTTTTGTAGGGTACCTTGTTTTAATTTTATTTATGTCTTTGCACCATGCATTGGAATAACTGCTGCTAAATAAAAAGAAGGAAAAAAAACATAAAAAAAAAACATTTAAAAAGACATTTAAAAGTTGACTTTCATGCAAATTCTTGGTATCCTTTGTCTTTTTTTTTTTTTTTTTTTTTTTTTACATTGTTCCATATGCGATATTCATGACCAGTCAGGAAGCACAATTTGACATCTGTGGAACACACCTAGAAAGCTGGAGGACATAAATTGTGTCCCAAAATGTGTGAATGATTTGGCTCCTTCATGAAAGATTCCCCTTTTCTTTTTCATGTCTGACCCCTGCAGCTGTTTCTCAAAATGTACACCTCCTGTTCTTGTCTTTGTTTCTCTTAAAGCCTAATCTGAAACGATTTATATTTATGTTTGCATATAATCAATCTTCAAAGTAACAGCATACAATAGAAATAATGAGACATCCTTTTTTATTTTAACATCTTGTCTAGTGCTGCATCCTATTGTGAAGTTCTTGTTCTGGAGCAATTAGACTCCTTCCTCTGTTGGGATAAAGATGCCCTAGGGTCACATCCTGTCTATCAGGCACTCAGTTTGGACACACAGGCTTGCATTGCTGTAGGGCCTCGGTGTGCAGAGGAAGGAGATGTACTTGAGAGCTTGAACATCCTTTTTAGTAGCCCTAAAGTAGAACCACACTTATGGGGAAGATGAAATAAGTGGTGAAAGGGAGGAGAGTAGAGGGAAAATTTGTTTCCATCCCAAGGGTCATTGAAAATGCCATTCAACTAACCTATGAACCATAATAATTTTGCCTCCTTCAAGATGTCAACCGTGCATTGATTTTTCATGTTTAGGCTGTCATTTCATGTCATCTTTACCTGTTCCAGCACTCACAAGCTTTACCATACACAGCCCACACACAGTGAGAGGGCAAAACAAGTCTCAGGTGCTTTAGCAAAAATAAATGACTTAATAACTATAGCGATATTAAAGCATGTTTTAACATCCGTATACCTGTTGTTCCCTTACATAGCTTGAGGAGCTGATGGGGGCTTTAGAGAAGACACGCCAGGAGCTGGATGCCACCAAAGTCCGTCTTTCTTCCACTCAGAAGTGCCTACATGAACGAGATGGACACCTCAGCCATCTGCGACAGGAGAGACGCAAACAGCTGGAGGAGATTCTAGAGATGAAGTAAGTGTCAGACCACTTTGCATTCAATAATACCATTCAATATTGGTAGTTTTAGATACAAACCAACAGTTAGTACATTACTTTGGCCTCTGGGTCAGCCTGTGTTTATAGAATGGAACAACACAATAAAACAATGCTTCAGTAAAAAGCAAAAAAGAAAACAAATGCCTCCCTTAACAGCTTTCAAAACTGAAAATATTGCAATAAAAGAAACAATTTATATTGAGTTTTTTTTTTGGCTCCTATACAACAGTCTTCATATCCTTTGTTCTGACACTTGTAAGATATAAGCTTGCTTCACTCTACTTGATCTGATGATTTAATTTCCTCCTCAACATGTCATTAAGTTCAGCAGAGGGCTGCTAATAACCCATCAGTTTAAATCAGGTGTGATCAGGCAGAAAAACATCTTAAACATGCAGTGTGAGCTGCCCTGGGGATCAGAGTATGGTGAAAAAAAAGGTTTTAATGGCAAAAGAACATACAGATATAGTCATATGAATAATAATCTTAGTAAGCAGTAGCTTGTTACCTAAATAATTTGATACAATTTGCCTCCGTTATTCTACATGAGGATACTTTTTAATACCATTTCTTTTCTTTTACCGTTTTGCATTTTAGCCCTGATAGGATTGTTTTTTTTTTTTTATTAAATTCATGTATGTGCTTGTTAAAGGAATAGTACACCCAAAACATGATTAGCCTTCATTTTCTACTCACCCCCATGCTGAACAACACTCTGGAGGACTTTTTTGATATCTCAAATGCATCTGGAGATCTGGGAGGCTTCTTGCTGTCTGCTGATATTCAAATAATGGAGGTCTATGGTGTCCGAGACAGAAAGGTCCATAAAAGTCCACAAAAAACGTGTCAATATTCCTCCATACTGCTCGTCCAATGTATTCCAAGTGTCCTGAGTGGGTAGCATCCAGAATTTACTCGAAACAAAGTCATTTAGAATGTTTTTAGAGCATAAACAGTAGTGTATAGGATTTCCTGAAAGCGCGCGCCTGTGAGCTCACGACGCTACGGAAACCGCGGCAGACCAAACCAGATGATGTGCGCATTCAGCTCGGCAAAGAACTCATGCTCTTCCTCAACACTGAAGTCCTCAGACATTTTTCTTTCGTTGTTTCTTTCTTTGCACAGGTGAACAGCACATTTCTTCTTCTACGCTTGCATTATCGGCAGAGCAGACGCTGAATGCGCACTTTCATCTGGTTTGGTCTGCCGGCTTCCGTAGCGTCGTGAACACGCGCGCTTTCAGGAAATCCTATACACCACTGTTTATGCTCTAAAAACATTCTAAATGACTTCGTTTCGAGTAAATTCTGGATGCTACCCACTCAGGACACTTGGAATACATTGGACGAGCAGTATGGAGGAATATTGACACGTTTTTTGTGGACTTTTATGGACCTTTCTGTCTCGGGCACCACAGACCTCCATTATTTGAATGTCAGCAGACAGCAAGAAGCCTCCCAGATCTCCAGATGCATTTGAGATATCAAAAAAGTACTCCAGAGTGTTGTTCAGCATGGGGGTGAGTAGAAAATGAAGGCTAATCATGTTTTGGGTGTACTATTCCTTTAAGCCCTAATATTGCCTGTCAGTTCAGTGTGGAGACTAATGTTTTCCCAAGCAGTTTATTTAATTAGGGCAATTCTTTTGTCAGAGGAAAAGTAGTCATCTTCATTATGTATGTAACAAAATTTTGGGAATGGAATGGGAGCAATTGTCCTTGATCTAAGAACGTTGTGTATTATCTTTATATGGCTGGAGCTACTGAAGTCTCCTCATTTGCAAACATGTGTATGATGTAATGATGTGAGATATGATGATGTGGCAGAGTGGGAGCCTGGAGATATATAAAATGCTTCTTTTTATTGTTATTTGAGGCACTGCTCATTTTCTGATAAAGCGACCCAATGGTGCCATCATATCCATTCAATGTGTTTGGTCTGAATAAGATTACTTATGTCTAAAAACTGTTGTCATATTTTCTAGTTATTTAATACATAAACCTTAAAAGTGTTATTTAAAGTGTTTGTTTCGAGTGATCTCTTCTCAGGAAAGAATTGAATACAGAAAGCTGAAAGGTGAAGATACATTGTTCGTTCAACAATGTATCTTGCTTCCTTTATAGAATCCTGATGCATTAGTGGAGAGCTTTTTATTTTTTTAATGAAAAAATCTTGTCATAGTGCATATTTGTGTAAGCATGTCTGCAAGAGTAATGCCGTATATTACTCTTGCAGACATGCTAACACAAATCTTAAGTGTCCTTTTTTTTATAGAAGATTTGGTTTACCAAGGGGCAGAGGCCTTTTACTACTTCTATGCATACTTTTCATGTCCACCAGATAAAGGGAAAGGTGTGTCCTTACAAACGACCAAGAGTCAGAATAGTTTCATAAACCTTAAATCCTCTTAGGTGTGTGCATATGGTCGTAATTTTGTTAACTGGTGGGGACAATTTCCAAGGAATATGCTACAGGGGGGACTTAGGGGCTTATGTACTTGTGGCGACCAACGACTAGACCCGTTTAGGCTCAGGGTTCGGGATGTGATGATAATGGTTAGGGTAAGGGCTAAGGTTAGGCCGTATTAATGAGTGGGAAATGAATTGAAGTCAATGAAAAGTCCCCCCAAGGACAGTCTGACACAACGTGTGTGTGGGTGAGGGTGGGCGTGGGGTATTTGTTACCTTGCGGGGACAGTGTGAAGGAAAATTCCCATGGAAATGCCGTTTTGTGGGGACTTATAGGTGCTTGTGGGCACCACTCAACTGGTCCACATGAGGAAAAGTTTTCTTCACTGGTTGTGGGATTTGGTATGTCTTGGTAATGGATAGGGTTGGGATCGTGGTAAGGCCATCGGAATGAATGTGGAATGAATGGAAGTCATTGCTAAGTCCCCATGATGACAGCAGAGCATAAAAAGAGTGTGTGTGAGAGAGACAATATGTGTGTGTGCTTTGAGTTATCTGGCTGAAGGGCTATGAAACCACATATCTGCTCGTCATGTGCTGCAGAGAAATACTTTTAATGTGAGCCAAAGCAAGGGGAGCATTGATAAGCGTGCACTGGAAAGATTACTTTTAAAGTCCATTATGCCACAATGATCACACATAATGCTAAAAAAAGTCTATACACATAGCGTTCACTTCTGCCCTGTGTGTGTGTGTGTGAGTATGCATGTCTTTGCGCTTGTAGGATCACAGTGGAGCTGCCAAAAGCATTTCCCTATGCATGTCCCACTTGTAATACAAACCATCTTCCTGTCTTGATTTCCGACGTTCATTTCTAGCAGGAATGTTGATCAGGAGGCATATTTTTCAAGTAATAAAGTCACAATCTGTGCTCAAGGTGTCTCTCTGGAGTCACAAAACTACTCTGTGACCCAGCATGTGAAAGACATTTATGCTCTTGTATGGCACTGCGCTTACACTAGTGTTACATTACCAACGGAGGATGCCTGAGAGAAAGACGTTTAGTGTGATGGTTGGTTGACATAAACAGCAACAAAGTCTATCAGAATCTTTTCCTTTGTGTTCAAGCCTCTGCCTAGTCTAAACTGGTAGGAGTTAATGAAGGGGGCACAGGGGGTATGAGTGTGTGTGGTCTGTTATGCATTGTATTCTGTGTGTATGAGGAGACTGGGAGCTGGGGGTTTGGGGTCACTGATGATGAGGATTAAAGAACTGTTGAACTGTGAGAGGGCAAAGCTTCGTGAGACAGAAGGGGCCGCAAAGATACGCATGCTAAATGCACACACAACCTCAGTGGAACTCGCATATAATCACTCACGTCTGCAGACATGCACATACTTACACAAACTGTGGCTTTCTGCTTTTAAAGAAAAGGGGCCATATTCCCCACAGCACAGCTCTGGCCCAAGTTATTGGAGAGAAAACTAAACAGGAAAGACATAGGGCACAGAAAGAAGGGTAACAAGAGGGATAGAGGAATAAATACAGGAACCAAGTAAGACAAGCAGAGGGAAGGGGATACAATGACGAGGCTGCACAAAGTAAAGTATTTAAAATCTTAGGGATCATGATAGAAGTTTGATGGGATGCCAGGTTTCTCCCTCTCTCTCTTTCCTCTGTAATGTGGCATTTGTCTAGAAGGTCAACTGAAGCAAACAGTGAGGTATGTTCCACAGCAAACTGGGGAGGTTTCTGTTTGAGCATGTGTGTTTTTGTTTTTAATGTGTGCGCATGTGCTTGTAAGCCAGAGGGAGAAAAAAAAACAACTCTTGGCTTTTCAACACTGGTAATGAATAAAAGAGACAAGGAGAGGGAAATAATATTCCATATCCTCTCATGGCCTGCTGGGTTTTTGTAGCTCCCCATGTTTATGTGTGCATGTGTATGTGTTTTTGTGTGTGAATGTCAGAGAGAGAGTACTGTTATCGTTTTCGGATATGAAGTTGAAGGCTTGATGTATAAGGAGCAATGTGGGTCTCTTCTATCACCCCACACCAGATTAGGTTTCCAAAGTACTGTACAGTGTGCACACACACAGACACAGATGGTCTCCTGAGGACCTACTCATTAAATAATTCTGAGGTCAGAGGGTGTAGGTGCGCAATAGAAAAATTATGTGTTTGGACATTTTGAATAGTCCGTCATTGAGATGTTTCCATAGTCTAAGTGGGATAACACTGCATGCCACCACATTGTAAGTTCTGAAGCTGATTTTCGTTTTGACTTTAAAAATATGGGTGCGTTTATCTATGTTTACATACTGAGATGGAAATCGCTAGAAAAGCAAAGAGGGGCAAAAAAAGTAGCGGCACCTTTGAGGCGGGTCCATAACATGAGGTTTTAGGATGAGGGAAAAGACGACATGGTAGTGATATATTTTTACTTGGTATCATAACATGCAGGTATAATTAAAAAAACAAAGGCAAAACATTGGACTCAAGAGAAGTTGAGAAACAACGACGGTGGGAAAAGGGGGGAGGTGATGGGGAGGGTTCTGAATGAAAAACAT